TTTTTTTTTTTTTTTTTTTTTTTGAGAAAGATGAAAACTATTGCAAAGAAAATGTAAAAATACAAGTACAATTTTCAAAAACGAAAAGATCAAAAATTAAATGGTTATCAAATAAAGCTTTAATTTTTAAAATTTAAATGAAATTTATGGTATACTTTTTTTTCATCTTTCTTACCAACAAAAATAGATTAACTTTCAACTTATGGTCAAATTTGTTCAATTGGAACTTTTGTTTTCAAAAAAGAAAAAAAGTAACCTAATTTGCCAGTTTTTTTTTTTTTTTTTTTTAGTTCAAATTTGTGTGATATTTTTCTACTCTAGGTTGAATCTGATTTTAGTGATATCATCCTTGATTCATGTCAATTAATTTTGAATTCATACATAAGGGAGTGTTTGAAGATTTGTATGTTTTAGAAAATAAATTTATCAGAATGTTCGAGCTTATGATCTTGAATTTGATTGTTATTTAACTTGCAAATGCATGTTATTGCTAATTATTGTCTAATGAAGTTTTGATGATTGCATAATCTCACATTATTGATATGTAATTCATTCCTCGACTTCTTTTTTATTATGACCATACCATCATTAACGGTGTCATGCTTGTTTTTATAATGAATGTATTCGTGCATTTGCATTTCCCTTAATAGAATCTGTTTTCTTTTTAAATATTAATTGTCCTATTACCACCATTAGCATTTAGCGGTGCTATATCATTATGCTACTTGACCATGAAGTTTAATTTCAACTTTATCAATGATAATTTCAACTTTAAATGCTTTGTTTAATCTCTAGTGTCTAAAAACCTCTGAAGCCTTGAAAAATGGTTTCAAAAGAATTATGACAGTAAGATTTGATTTGAGAGCCCCCCCGAAAAAAAAATATATATTCAGCTGGCCACTAAAAGGTATTTCAAAACTTTAGGAAGCTACCTAATTCTAGTTTTCTAGAACAATATTATGCACTTAAAAACATATCAAGACAATATAGTTGTGTGCAGAAACATATCAAGAAAAGATAGCAATTCTTTTGTGGAAAAAGTAGAAAACATACCCTTCTTTATAATTATGTTTCAAAACAAGTATAGTTTTATGATAGATCACCAAATTTTACTCTCTTTTACTAAAAGATTCCTACTAATTGGACCCGATTGATGGTATTTCAAAGTCTATAAGGGTATATATGGAATCCCCAAATTCCAGTGGTGGAAGAGAAGCATTTAATAGTATAGTTTGGTGGTATGGTTATTTAGGACATTGGAGAGAGCAACTCAGAATGTTGTGCTATATTAGATCCCAAGACAGAAAAACAAAGGGAAGAAGAAGGAAAAGTAAATCAAACAAACAGCCGTTTGTTTGGCTGCACAAGGCAAATATTTGACGATGTTGGGCTGTGGAGAGGCATTGGGCAATCACATGCCGTTTGAAGTGCTTCCTTTTTCTACACACTATTTTTTCCAATCTAATGGGATCCCACGAATCTTCTCCCATTTGATTCTTTACCATCATCATAACAACCACAATAGCGATGGAATGTCAAAAAGAATCTCAACCATTCTATTGGCATCTTTTCCTGTGTTGGTATTATATTTGCATTTTAGTAATTCTCTTCCTGATTTAAAAATCATATTGTAGGCTCCTTATAGGCCAAAGGAGACGAATCCATCATTCTTAGTAGAACGTTTCTATGGGAACTCAAAACCATAGAATCCCTTTAATGTTCCTTTGCCCATCCACTTTTTACTAGGTTCAGCAAGTTTTTCCTCAACGCTCCAACGTTGTTGAGATAATCATAACATGACTGATATCATTTATTTAAACATATTATCTTTGTTACTCATAGATGGATCAGATGAGAGTATGCATTCAAAGATCTAATCTTAGATGTATAATAATGTTTTAACCAGTTGAACTGTATGCAGATATGCAGATATGAAATTTGGCACAATGATCGGGACAATTTCTAGAACTCTTACCATACATACTTCATTTGTTCACACTATGAATTATGTTTTTATGCTATTGAACTCCATACTGTTGTAGTGTTGATGATTTTGTAGGAAGGGAAGGGATGGGAAGGGGGAGAAGTAAATGGAAGCACGTGAAGGTAAGCATTAATGGAGGTAGCAGTAGTGAGGTTCTGTTTAGTCAAAGATGGGTTTGGTAGCAGAAAGGTTGGTTTGTGTGAGTGTGGCTTAGTAGTGGGTTTGGCACTTAGGGTTGCTTTCCTTATTCCAAAATAGAAAAACGACTCTATTTGGATGCAACTCTGCATATTCTTTGCAAATGAATCATTCTAGAATGTAACTTCCTTTTTCTGCATGGAACATGCAGAGTTGCTAATGGAGGACGGAGAATTTTTTGCCCTTTCACAATAATGCAAATAACTCTGCTCCCTTCTCTCTCTCTCTCCACACTTTCTCTCTCTCTCTCTCTAGGACAATCATTCTCTTTTTTCAACTCTACATTTTCTTCCCTTTTGCTCCAATTCCAACTTTAAAATTCACCCTTTTTTTAATTAATGAAAAAAACATACTTTTCTTTTTCCTTTTTCAAAATTTAAATTCCACAAATATTCCTTAGATTCTAGTCTTGCTAATCATTGGTTTGAAAAAAAAAAAAAAAAACATGAGTAGGTTAAATTATAAATTTAATTTTACGGTTTGTAAAAATTTCAAGCTTAGAGGTTCAAATCACCCTCCTCTAATGTTGTCGAGCTCAAAAAAAAAAAAAAAAAAAAAACATGAGTAGGTTAAATTATAAATTTAATTTTACGGTTTGTAAAAATTTCAAGCTTAGAGGTTCAAATCACCCTCCTCTAATGTTGTCGAGCTCAAAAAAAAAAAAAAAAAAAAAACATGAGTAGGTTAAATTATAAATTTAATTTTACGGTTTGTAAAAATTTCAAGCTTAGAGGTTCAAATCACCCTCCTCTAATGTTGTCGAGCTCAAAAAAAAAAAAAAAAAAAAAACATGAGTAGGTTAAATTATAAATTTAATTTTACGGTTTGTAAAAATTTCAAGCTTAGAGGTTCAAATCACCCTCCTCTAATGTTGTCGAGCTCAAAAAAAAAAAAAAAAAAAAAACATGAGTAGGTTAAATTATAAATTTAATTTTACGGTTTGTAAAAATTTCAAGCTTAGAGGTTCAAATCACCCTCCTCTAATGTTGTCGAGCTCAAAAAAAAAAAAAAAAAAAAAAAAACATATGGGTTTTTGAAAACATTTTCGAATGTACAGAATAAAAAACATAATCTTTGTAAAAAAAAATTAGAACCAAAAGTATATTTATAAGTATACATGTTCAAATATACATGTGTTATACATTTACATGTACGTGTTTATATAATATAGACTAAATATGTATGTTTTAGTATATTATATTCTTTTAGTGTAGTTAAGAAGTCGTCATACACAAGTATTGCTCCACTAACCTAAAGCATGTATCCTTAACCAATCAAGAGGTCGTAGTTCAAATCATCCACTCCAATATTAAAATTACCCAATAAAAAAATTTAATTAAAAAAAAGTATTAATACATCAAAATATAATTAACATTTTAAAAAAATGAACAAAAGCATGTAGGTCTCTTCCTTGAAGGTAACAAAAATGAGGTCTATAAATACTCCTATTTGTTGAGAGCTAGGAGGCATCCCATATTTGATCTCTCTTCTCTCTCAAACTGCATTTCAATTGTCAAGAACAAATGGCCGGAATCAATCTCATCTCCGCCGCCGCCGCCGCCGCCGTCCTCCTGGTTTTAGCTTCTATCTTCAATAATAACATTCCACACACCCAAGGACTAAGGTTGCTGCCAATGGAGCAGGAGCATCCAGCCGTCCATCTCAATTCGAGGCCACAGTCATTTCACCCCTCTCCCATTGCTGCTACAGACGTGGACGTGCATGGCGGCGACTTCCGTCCCACCACACCCGGCCACAGCCCCGGCGCCGGTCACGGCCTTGCGCCGGACAGCCACGTGGATTCCAAAATCCATTAGGATATCATTTAATCATGATATTAATAGTTGGTAATTTAGTCAGTCATGTATTCATATTATCAAGTGCATGTTTACAATTATTGTTATGCATCTTCCTTTCATTATCTACTTCAAATCTATTATTATGTATTGATTATGTGTTAATTAATGAAGCTTGATTTAATTATTTGTTTTCTCCTATTTTCATAATCAATATTATATTTATTAATTTAAATTCAAATAAAATGAAGTCACTTGGAGATAGTTATATCTTTTTTTTTTTCTCGATCTAAATTATGAAATAACACCATGACACTGTAATCAACACTCTCCACAATGGTATGATATTGTCAGTATTAGCTCTCATGACTTTGTTTTAGGTTTCCAAATAGAGATAGTATTACATGATTATAAACCCATGATCATTCCCTAAAATAGTCGATGTGTGACTTTCATCCAACAGACACAATCTTACTTTTAATCCCACATTAATTTATATGTTCACGTGCATATAAATAAAAGTTTAATAACACCCGCATACATATATATATACATACATGTATCGTTCGGGTGATAATATATGAAGCGTTGAGTATTGAAGAATGACGTGATACCCAAAATATTGTTTTATTTAACACATTTATATATGTTTAATTATTTAAAAAAAGAAAAAAAAAAAAAAATGTTATGCTGGACATCCCTAGTTCTGTTGGGCTAAAGTGGGAAGTGGATCCAAAAGTCTAAATTTATATTGGGCCCAATGCGATTGGGCCTGGTCCAATAAAAAGTAATTGGGCCTGATCCAATAAAAAGTAATTGGGCCGAAGGAAGAAATAAGTGACAAAATATGATTTAAGTAATTATATAAATAGAGAGAAAAAAAAATTTGAAAAGAAAATGTAACGAAGTTTCCTAATAGTAAGGAGAAAAAGGAATAATTGAATAAAGGATTTGCGGAATATCCTATTTTAAGGAGAAGAAGAAAAGGAGTGTTAAGAGTGATTATAAAGTAAATCAGAAAATAGCATAAAAAAGAGGAATTGGCGGCGGATGGAGCCAGGCGTCGGAAAAGGAAATTGAAACCAAGGGCTGAGATTAAAGTGTAGTCCTTAATCCTAGGGTGTATATAAGCCACCGCGCATTGTCCCAAAAGCAGCCATGGTTTGTAATTGTATGGTACGGCGTGTTGAAGCTCCTAATAAATCATCGTGAAAGCTTAGAGTTAGACCCTAATCCACTCCTCTCTTTCTGCTTCGCTTTCCTTTAAACACTTGGATTCCGATTTGTTTATGTTCTATTTTGTTTTTCTCTCTTTCAATTCAGATTCTTTTACCCTTTTGGTTTAGGGTTTAGGGTGTACATTAAGATTTTCTTTCGTTCTTTTTCTTTTCCGTTTTTGCCTTTTTCTCTCACTCTTCAATACGGAGGAAGATAAGATGCAAAACAACGGTTCTGATTCGCAGCCTCCGGAAACAAATCATCAACGCCACCAACACCCGCCGCAGAAGTCGTGGATGCCACTGCAGTACCGCCCACCGGCGATGGTAATGCCGCACCATATGATGACGCCGCAGCATTACATTGCGCCGCCGTTGCCGCCGCCGTATATGCACTATCATTATCATTATCAGCCTCACCATCTCCCTATGCAGCATTCGCAGCCGCTGCAGGGATCTGGTGGCGAAAACAAGACCATTTGGGTTGGTGACTTGCAGCATTGGATGGACGAGACTTACCTCCATAACTGCTTTGGTTCATTCGGCGAGGTTCGGTTTTATCTCCTCTTTTTTCACTTATCTTTACGTTTATTTTACGCTTCGCATTTATAGTTTGTTCGTGAATTTTCAATCGGTGCATTTGTAGTCTAATATGTTGTTACGATGAATCGATAATCATTCTTTGCAGGAATTGTTGCAGTTCTCAATTAAATTCAATCTATTTTATTGGATGAAATTATTCATTCTCTTCATTAAAATAATGGTACAAAATTGGAATGATTCATTTTTCCTATTCGTTCTTTTAGTTGAATACGTCTACTTTGTTTCTAGATGATTCTTTTTAGGAGGTTTTGTTTCGGTACTTGATTCTCGTTATGCAATTTGAGCGTACAAGTGCACAACTAAATGACGAATATTATCTTGATCGAATATTTGGCTTGGTTTTTGAGAAAAAATGGTTTTTGCTACCGTTGAGGAAGTAAGAATTTATTGGAGATTGAGTATTGCGATTTATTTACATTTTATCTTATGACGATAGTAGATCTGAGAAGAATTTGCTTAAAAATGCAGCACTATATTTTATATAGAAGTATGGTTTAGACTCTTGGCCCTGTTTAGAATGGCTGTCGCTTCTAACCTCTCAAGTTTTATCTTCCATTGAATATTATGAAGAGGATATAGAGAAATATTATATTAGATTATATTATTAATAAATGGAAGATCTAATTCTCTAATAATTGACGTTGACATCTTATTGCAAATTTTGTTGTTGGGGGCTTCACTTAGATTTTTATATTTATTACTGTTTCTCCAGCTTTGTACAGGGATGTGTATATATGCTTTCTCAACTGAATCTTGTTCTTTTCCTTACTTTCTTGGGAAAGAAAATTAATGTAATCACCCTCAGCATTTCCAAAAAAAAAAGAAAGAAAGAAAAAAGAAACTTGTTTTAACAAAAATCTTGAATTGTTCTTGGTTTGGAATGATCATGTTGAACTAAGATTGTTCTGGTTTCTGTATGATGCAGATTTCATCTATCAAGATCATTCGTAATAAGCAAACTGGTTTGTCTGAGGGGTATGGATTTGTAGAATTCTTTGCTCATGCAACAGCTGAGAAAGCTCTTCAGAACTATTCTGGAATGTGCATGCCAGATACAGAACAGGCTTTCCGCCTGAACTGGGCAACATTTAGCACTGGTGACAAGCGATCAGACAATGATCCTGATCTTTCTATCTTTGTTGGAGACTTGGCTGCAGATGTTACTGATACTTTGCTGTACGACACATTTTCTAGTAAATTTCCCTCTGTCAAAGCAGCAAAAGTTGTCATTGATGCCAACACTGGTCGTTCAAAGGGTTATGGTTTTGTTCGGTTTGGAGATGACAATGAAAGGTCTCAAGCGATGACTGAAATGAATGGTGTACATTGTTCAAGCAGACCTATGCGCATTGGTGCAGCAACACCCAGAAAATCTTCTGGATATCAGCAACAACGTGCTTCATTAGGTATATTTAAGTGTTTTGGGGCTGCGATATAGTATGCTTAACTTTAAACCACTTCCAAGAGGATTAGGATGTCTTTGGGGTTGGTATGCAGTTCTGGAGTAAATAAAGATAGGCAAGCTTTTGTCTTCTACCAAGCATTTGGTTCAAGACTGGGGTTACGTATCAAAAGAGTTGTTAAAATGAAAACTAT